CCTCCGGGGTCATTGGCAACTCCCCTGGGCTCCACCTCCCTTGGCGAGGGAGGTAAGTGGAAGGGGGAGGTGAGGGTTGGCAGGGAAGAGGTGAGGCAACCTGACTGCTGAGCGTTGGGGGCAGTGGGCAGATCTGCTCTGGACAGGGGAGAAGGTCCCTGAGAGGCCGTCCTGGGCAGAGCCCACGGCAAGCACGAGCAGCCTCTTCCCAGTGTCTGATGAGACGCCCCTGGACCCCCACCTCTGCCCCACAGTGGTGGCGGCCGGGGAGAGTCTGGAGGGGATGAGGGCTCTGGGGCGTCAAAGGGGCTCATGCCCAGAGCGTCCTGGTGTCATTGTGCAGGCCACGTTCATGCTGACTTCTGTGCTTCAATCTCCAGCTGGACAGCGGCTTGGAACCCAGGCCCCACAAGGCGTTCACCCTGCACCCTTTCACTTGCCCACCCCGAAGGCTGCTCCTTTCCCCAGCTGCCCACACGGCCCTCCTCCCACTTCCTGCCCCCTTCGTCCCATCCGGTCCAAGCCCTGGACAAGCAGCTCCTCCCAGGCCTGGGCTGCACAGCCAGCGCCTCTCTGCCTGCGTAGGCCCGTCTCCTGCTCACCCGGGCCCGCGCTCACGCAGTCACACTTCCTGCGCATCTTCTGAGCACCCGGGAGGGAGGGCCTGGCCTTCTGGCGAGAAGATACAGGCCGGGGCTCCTCAACTGCTGCTCCGTCCACAGTCTGGGCTGGATCATCCTTTGTGGGGTCGTCCTGCTTTGCAGGATGCTCAGTGGCACCCTTGACGTCTACCCAGTGGGTTCAGTAGCACCTCTCCTCCCAGCTGCGACCATCCAAAATGCCTCCAGATGCCAAGTATCCCTGAGGGCAAAACTGCCCCCACCCCCAAGAGCTCTGGATACAAGGAAGGATCAACGTACTTAATAAATTACATAGTGAGTCAGGTGAGAGTGTAAGGAAAAGGAAAAATGTAGGATGGGGTAAGAGGCACTGGAGAGGATGGGATGTTGTTATGGACTGTTACCCCCCCCCCCCAATTAATGTGTCGAAGCCTTAATCCCCAAGGTGGCTGTATTTGGAGATGTGGCCCCTAAGGAAGAAAACAGGCTAAACGAGGTCAGTGGGGTGGGGCCCTGATCTGATAGGATTAGTGTCCTTTTAGGAAGAGACACCAGAGGCTTGCTCCCTGGATATCTCTCCTCTGTTTTCTCTATAGTACACAGGATGGGTGGGCTGGCTCTCACAGAGAAGGAAATACTTGAGCAGAGCCTCAAGGGAGAGAGGAAGAAGGCTGTGGCATCCTTGGAAACAGGTGGGCCCAGCTCGAGGAAAGGCCCTGGGGCAGGAGCAGCAGAGTGTCCCCAGCGGCCTGGCAAGGAGGTTATGTGGCTGGCATGGCGTGGGCAGGTAAGGGGTGGGAGGGAAGGTTGGCAGGCAGACAGCCTCCCAGCCACATCAGGGCTTGGACTGTCACTGTGGTGAGATGGGATCCATGGAGGGCTGTGAGCAGAGAGGGGGCAGCGTCTGATGGTGATTGAAAAGGTCCCTCTGTCACAGCAGCACTATTCACAACAGCAAAAGCATGGAAGCACCCACACGTGAATGGAAACAAAATGTGGTCCATACACACAGTGGGATATTATCCAGCCTTAAAAAGGAAGGGGGTGTGGTCCATACACACAGTGGAATATTATCCAGCCTTAAAAAGGAAGGGAATGTGGTCCATACACACAGTGGAATATTATCCAGCCTTAAAAAGGAAGGGAATGTGGTCCATACACACAGTGGGATATTATTCAGCCTTAAAAAGGAAGGGGGTGTGGTCCATACACACAGTGGAATATTATCCAGCCTTAAAAAGGAAGGGGGTGTGGTCCATACACACAGTGGAATATTATTCAGCCTTAAAAAGGAAGGGGATGTGGTCCATACACACAGTGGAACATTATTCAGCCTTAAAAAGGAAGGGAATCTCGACACCTGCTAAAATGTGGGTGAACCTTGAGGACATTCTGCTCAGTGAAACAAGCCAGTCACAAAAGGACAAAATACTGCGCATTTCCACTTATATGAGGTCCCTGGAGGAGTCACATACACAGAGACAGAAAGTAGATGGTGGGTGCTAGGCGCTGGGGGAGAGAGGAATTAGTGTTTAATGAGGACAGAGTTGCAGTGTGGGAAGATGAAGAAATTCTGCTCCTGGGTGGTGGTGATGGCCGCACAATATGGTGAATACCGTGAACCATACTTAATGCCACTGAACTGTACCCCTAAAAATAGTTAAGATGGCAAATTTTATGTTATATTGATTTTACCACAATTTAAAAAAGAAAATAAGAAAGTTCCCTCTGGCTGTCTCAGGGCAACTGGACCACAAGGAGGTGAGCTACACAGAGATGGTGAGAGGGCTCAAGAGTCCAGGTGAAGGGCTTCCCTGGTGGCGCCGTGGTTAAGCATCCGCCTGCCAATGCAGGGGACGCGGGTTCAAGCCCTGGTCAGGGAACTAAGATTCCACATGCCACAGGGCAACTAAGCCCGTGGGGCAACTGAAGAGCCCGCATGCCACAACTAAAGAGCCTGCACACCACAACTGGAGAGGCTGTGCCCGGCAACTAGAGAAGCCTGCATGCCGCGACGAAGATCCCGCTTGCTGCAACTAAGACCTGATGCAGCCAAAAATAAATAAATAAAATATTAAAAAAAAAATAAGAGTACAGGTGAGGGACAGTGTGGACCAGGGGCCTGGAGCCTGGCTCGGAGAATGATTCTGGTGGCTCTGAGAGTGGAGTGCACAGGATTTCTAAAAGGACTGCTGTGGGTTTGGTCTGAGCATCTGCCAGGATGGACTGCCCTCACCAGAGATGGGGAAGGCTGTGGGCAGTTGTTGGGCTTTATTCTGGGGGGAAGAGGGACAGCAGATTTGGACATGCTGACCTTGAGAAGTCTATTCTCCAAGTGGAGGTGTCCAGGGCAGCTGGATGGGACACCTGGAACTGCATGGCTGGTTTTTACAGCTGCAATTGGACAAGGTCACAAAGGACATGGCCCTGAGGAGGGGACATGAAGAGGTGGGGGGCGAAGATGGAGCAAGGGGGCGGGCCACGGGGCCACTGATGGCCAGTGGGGAGGCCTGAGGACTGGTCCTTGGATGCTTTAGGTGGGTCAGGGCAGTGCTGGCTGGACAGGTGTGGGCTCAAGAGAGAAGGGGAGAAACTGCACAGCCAGGAGAGGTGATGGGGGGGCAGGGGCTCACGAAGTTTGTCTTATTGGAATGTGAAAGAAATCACAGCCTGCTCGCTGAAGAGCCAGTGGGGAAGGAAAATCCGTACCCTTGGGGAGGGGAGAGGGAGGAGGACGCAGGCTAGGGTGAGGGATGGGGGGCGGGGCGGGGGGCGGAGAAGAAGTGTGTGGCCGGGCACTCAGGACCCGGGCAGGCCTGCGGTTCCGCCCGGCGGACCGGTGGCGCGGTCCCCTCGGTAGAGAAGCACAGTTGCGGGGAGGATGCGGCCAGGGGCTCGAGGGTGTGCGGGGCAGGGATGGTCAGGCTGGGCCGCGCCGGGGAAGCGGGAGAAGGGTCACTCTGATGGATCCACGCGTCCGCAGCTGTGCCTCCCACCGCACCGCCGCCAAGGTCTCCCCGAGCCTTGCCCGTGCGCGCGCAGGGACAGCGGGGCAGGAGCCGGCCGCGATCCGGAGGCAGCGGGACGGGACGACAGGTAGAAGAAGCCCGTGCCGTGTGGCGCCTTCCGGCCACACGTCCCAACCCAGTGGCCCCTCGGGGCTGCTGCTCAGGCCGGCCGCCGCGTCCCGCCCCACTTGGTGGCTGTGATCTTGCGACCCGGGCACTGGGCTCCGGATAAAGGGCGCGGAAATGCGCACGTCCGGGAATGCCGCCCGCTGGCCCCCCAGCCCCTGCGCCGGGCCGGCCCGCGTTTCCGGAGGCCCCCCGCCCAGGCCCGGGCTGCAGCGCAAGCCTGACCCTGAGCCCGACGGGGAGGAGAGAGTGGCGCTCACGAGCACTGCCCCCTCCCCGAGGTCAGCAAACCCTCGTCCGGTCGGGGCCTTGGTCATCCCATCCCGTGCCGGGGCGACAGCTGACCCAAGGCCCGGGGGTGGGGCAGAGGGCATCTGGCCCGGCGCTGCCCACCAGGAAGGGGGCCGGGCGCTGCCCCGCACAGCACGGGCTCCGGCGGGGACGCGGGCCTGGGCGCACTCTCCGGAGGTCGCGGCCTCTGCATCAGTGCTGCGCCTCGTAGAGACCGAGTAGACGCCAAGTGGAGACCTTCCCTCTCAGAGGGACCGGGTCTCCCCCGCACGAGTGGGCCTGGCGAGGACCTGAAACCCGCGCGCATCGGGGCGCCCGCGGGGGCCACACTCGGCTCTTTACTTCCAACAACCTTGTGTGGTCACGAGGGAGCAAAGGGCATAGAGGGGCCAAGTGACCCCTCCGAGGTCATGCAGCGGGGGTGGGGGGTGTGGCAAATAGGTGTCAGGGCGCGGAGTGGCGGAGGGGGGACCCGGCAGGCCGATGGACTTCTCACCTGTCCTTCTCCCCTGAAGCGCAGGGGCAAGCCTGGGCCCGAGTCAGGAGCGGAGAGAGCGGATCCCCACCGGCCCACGGGCCTGGGTCGCTCCTGGCCCCGATCTCCCCCGAGCAATCCGACCCGACTGGACCCCCCTGGCCCGGGAGCAGAGGCCGCGCCTTTGCATTCACTGGCCCCTAGTCCCTGGCGTGCCTCGAGCCCCTCCCTCAGGATCGGCCCAGGGACACCCCAAGCCCCGGGACCGCCGAGCTCCCGCGGCAGATTTCCCGCTTCCTTGGCTTAATTCCGGCCGACAGTGGCTCTGGAGGAGTTATCCAGGCGCAGCCTCCTCCAAGCAGCCCTCCCCACTCCGTGGCCTGTGGGCCTGACGGCGCTCTGTGCGCAGATCCCGCCCGGGGCTGAGCACACGGAGCCCAGGAGCCACCTCGGTCCCTTTAAGCCCGCTGTTCGCGCAGTCCCGGGGTTTCCATGACGACGACGTCTGCTAGGGGATCCGGGCGGGGTCGGAGCGCATGCGCGGTGCGCGCCGGACGCCGCAAGTCTTCCCGAGTCGCTGGAGCTGCTGTCGCGGCGCCCCCAACTGCGGTAAAGGCGGGGTGGGGGTTCGCTGGGCCGGGGTGGGGTGGGGAGGGAGAGGGAAGGGGTCGCTGGGCCCGGGGGGCGTGGCGGAGGTGGAGAGGCCGGGGTGGGGAGCTGCGAGACCCGGTGGGCCGGGTGGGGGGGTTCGCTCGTCCCGGGGGGCGGGCCCTGGAGGTGGGTTCGCTGGTCCGCGGAGGTCGGGGTGGGGTAGGGACTCGCGAGGCCGGGTTCCGGGGTGGGTGTTCGCTGGCCGGAGTTGCGGGTGCTGCTGACCCTCGGCCGCTGCAGGGCGCCCGGGCTCCCTCCGCTCGGCCATGGCCCCCTCGCCGCCGTGCAGGCTCCCTCGGTCGCCGCCGCCGCTGCTGCTGCTGGTGCTGCTGAGCGTCGCGCTGCTGGGCGCCCAGGCCCGCGCGGAACCCGCCGCCGGGAGCGCCGTCCCCGCGCAGAGTAGGTGCCGCGCGCGTGTGCGGAGGGCTCCCCCCTGGCCCGACCGCACCCGGGCGTGCGGGAGGGGCGTGGCTCGCCTTTGTTCCTAGGGTGGGCCCCGCGCCCCCTCGGGTGGGAGGTGGGGGGCGCATGGAGGCCGCTGCTCCGGTGGGTCCGGGCTGGGAGCGCGGCCCGCGTCCTGACCCGCGTCCCCCGCAGGCCGCCCGTGCGTGGACTGCCACGCTTTCGAGTTCATGCAGCGCGCTCTGCAGGACCTGCGGAAGACGGCCTGCAGCCTGGACGCACGGGTGAGCCTCCCGAGGAGAGGAGGGTGGGGAGGAGGGACGCCCCCTCAACCGCCACACTCAGTTTCTGGTGCCAGTGTGGGAGGGCGGGGCACCCCCGTTCCCCTGCTCCCCACGGCCTCGCTGGCACTCTCCCCGGGGGTCACCCAATCCCAGTGCAGCCTGCCCCGGGGGGAGTGCTGAGGCCCAGTGGGAGGGGAGAAACTGAGGCGGGGGAAGAGGTGGTCGGAAGGGGGTGCGTAGGGCTTGTTGGGCACGGAACGTTAGCTTGGGCGCAGCTGTCTGGGGGGTTCCTTGCCCCCGGCCTCACCTGGGGAGGGACGGGTGCGTGCACAGGGGCCAGGGGTCAGCCCCGTCAGCCGACGGAGTTTCCATTTGTGACAGATATATGTACTCTTCCTGAGAAAGAGAGAGCATTCCTAGAAGTAGAAAGCAGGGGAGATCCCCTCCCTGCTCCCCTTTTCTGGCCAATTCCCAAGGGCCCAGCCTGAGACCTGTGGCGCCCCCTGGGGGCCAAGGGGCCTGAGTTTCATTGAGTCTGGAGCTGGGTTCCTGAGAGGAGCAGCCCCAGCCCACCCTGGGGGTCGGGGGAGGGGTGAGAGGGGCCCCTGAGAGCTGAGCGGAAGCTGGGAAAAGTCGTCCCGGTGTGGGGCTGAGGAGGCAGGACTGGCCCAGGACCGCAGATGCTCCGGGCCGGGAGGGGGGCGTCTGGAGGGCAGCAGAGGGTCCCCTGCCGTCAAAGTCTGCAGAGCTGGGGCTGGGGGTGTCCTCCCAGAGTCCAGTTCAGGCTCGGAGAGTCTTGGGAACGGGTGGAGACAGGACTGCCAGTGGGTTTTGGGGGGAAGCCGGGAGCTGGGAGGCCCTCGGGAGCTGCCGGGGGGGGGGGGGGGTGCAGCGGGCGGTGCCCTGACGGCCCCGTGTTGCTCTTCAGACAGAGACCCTCCTGCTGCAGGCCGAGCGCCGGGCCCTGTGCGCCTGCTGGCCGGCCGGCCGCTGAGGACCCTCAGCCAGACTACTTCCTCACCAATAAACACCTGGCCCGGCATGCCTGTGTCCTGTCTCCCTGCTCTGGCCACCAGAGCCCACCATCGCCGCCTCCTGGGGTCCCCAGTTGGGACTCTCTCTGGGCCTAGGTTTCTGCAGCTCTTCCGTGAGGGCTGAGGCCCTCGGGACACCTGTCCCACACCAGTGCCACAGTTGAGGGTATGCGTGTCCGGCCACACTTGTGAACCTGCACCCACGGGCACGGTGGCCACGGCGAGTTCGCCTTCCAAGGACCTCTTTCCTGCCTGCCTGCACTTATTTTGAGGCGGGGGGAGGGGGGCGGTGTAGAGGCGGCCTGGTCACTGGAGCAGCTGCCCCGGCGCCAACCCTCCCAAGGCTCTTCTGTACTGCAGTGAGGACGCCTGTGGTCAGGGTCTCCCTGGAGGTCCAGCCGGTGGATCCCACACGGCAAGGCCACTGTGATCAAGGAGCCTGAGGGTGTCGGGAGAGGGGTGATTGGGTGGCGGGGGAGGGCTCCTCTGGGAAGAGAGGGCTGGGCCCTCCCCCCAGCTTCCACCCTGCCTGCTGGGTCCCTCCTGCGCACCCCCGCCCGGCCCGTGGGCACCAGGAGCTCCTGGCTCAGACACGCATCCACACATGTGTGCTCACAGCACCGGGTGGGAGGCCTCCCTCCCTCCCTCCGTTCATTCTGGGAATGGTTTTTAAAGTAAAAATTAATACTTGTTTTTCAAAGTAACGCATGCACACTCTAAGAAACATCCAGGAACGCGGCAGGGCTGCGACTGGAAGTGACCACGATGGGACACTTGGCCTCTCAAGGGCTTTAGTTCCCTGGTTGTGGCCGCCTCGGTGCAACGTGCCCCACCCGCTTCTGCCGTCTCGGGTTGGTGGAGCCGGACACTCCTGGTCCACTGCCTAGAGGACGGCACCAGTCCCCAGCCCGGCCTGGCCTGGCCTGTCTTGGTGATCTACATGCAGGCATCTGTTCAGACCCTCTGCCCCAGGCCCTTCCCTGCCCAACGGGCTTCCCAACCCTTGACCTTGACCTCTTCTGTCCTCGGTTCTCTTCTGCGGGAACCGCCCGGCGTGCAGGGGCCGATCCAGGTGTCAGGATCACAGTGAACAAACCAGATTCCTGCCTTGGCCGTGGTGGGAGGCCGAGCTCTAGGTGTCTGGTGGCGAGGAAGCCTGTGAGCTTTACATCCGGCCAGAGAACGCCCGCGGTGGGGGCTGCTGAAGCCGTGGCAGGCCTAGGCCGGCCCTCGGGCCTGGCTGTGAGCAGGGTGCAGGGGCAGGGCTCAGGATCCACCTGTCCTGGGGCCCCAGGAAGGAGCGGAGGGTGGCAGAGGCAGGTGCCTTCCCATCAGGGCGCTGCCAGACGGTGCTCATGTCCCATTGGCTGGCCTCTGTCATGTGGCCACTCCTGGCTGCCCGGCGGGGCGGGATGCAGCCTGTGTTGCTGGCCTGCGGCCAGATTCACAGACACAGAGGACCAGCGAGCACTTCTCAGTATGAAAAGTACAAGTACTTCTAGTATAAGTACTTTTTAGCATACGCATGTCCCATGCAATATGGGACGTACTTAAATTAAAAATTATTGGTTTATCCAAAACTGAAGTTTAACTGGGCATCGTGTATTTTGTGGGCAGCCATGAACCCTTGCCCGGACTGGGGTTCCTGTTACCATAAATGATGGGGGCAGCCGAGGGTGGCCGTAGAAAGCGTCTTAGGGGAGATGCCCTCTGGGAGGGAGGAGGGGCACAGCCCAGGCGGACGGGTGTGGAACCACAGGCAGAAGGGCCGGGGACGCTGCTGTGTAGGGTCTGCCCAGCAGAGTCAGGCAGGAGGGCAGGGGGCAGCGTGAGGGACGGAGGCTCCCCGGAGCCCTGCGGGGTCTGGGCAAGCCCACGTCTGTTGGAACGGGACGTTTCTGGCTGCTGGTTGAAGATGGACTCTGGTCAGGGGCAGAATCAGGGCCCGTGGGGATGTGATGAAGCCATCAGCTGAAGAGGGCCCGGGGCTGGGCGGTGGCAGCGGGAACAGCAGTGAGAGGAGGAGCTGGGCTCCAGGTGTATCTGAAAGTAGAGCCAGTGGGAACCGCGGGTGTGTTTGTTTGAGAGAAAGGGATGAGGGGGTGAGGGGAAGAGGGATGGAGTTACCAGAGAGGTCCAGGAGGCTACCGGACAGACACACCTGGGAAGGGGGCTGGAGAGAGAGAAGGCTGGGCCCCAAGTGCTGGCCGAGAGCCCTGCGGTGAGTGTGGACAGAGGAGCGATGTGCTGAGCGGGCAGGGGGGTGGGAGACCCCCGAGGAGATGGGCTCTCATGAGACAGGAAGAGAACCGAGACTGGCCAGGGCTTAGGAAAGAAGTCAGCGTGTCTCACGCTCCCGATGTCAAGCAAGGCCCAAGCCTGGACCCCTGGGTCGGGCAGCCCTGGTCCTCGCCAGCCTTGCCAAGAGCAGGGTCGGTTGGGGGCGGGGAAGGCCTGAAGGGCGTTGTCACTAGAGAAGTAGACAGGAGAGTCAGCACAGGTGACTGGCAAAGCTTAGCCGTGCGTGTGGTCAGGGCCCACGCGTTCAGGTTCTGTCCTGGAGCTGCCATACTGCTTTCTGGCTGACTGGGTCAAGAGCATCTTCCATGCTGGGAACGCATTATCCTTGGGATGGCATTTGTTTTCCCTAGAGATTGTGTCTGCCTTATTGTTCCCCTCGTCTGCTTCTGACGTTCTCTGTCAGTCAAGTCGTTCCCGTTACGTCCCCTCCCTGGCCCGTGCCCTCCTGCCCCCAGCCAGCTGGGCATTCCCGCTGCCCACTGCCCACCTTGCACTCTTCTGGTTTGGAGCCACTGTTTCCTAGATTCCATGCCACCTTCTCCCTGTGGCATCCCTTCAGGTAGCTTCCTAGAAAACAGTGTGGTAAGTAACCTTTTCTGAGCTGGCCTGTCTGAAAGTACGGTATCTTCTGCTGGCACGTTCAGCTCATAGCCCCTGCCACCCCAGGGCCTTTGTACGTGCTGTCCCCTCTCCATGGGGTTCCCCACTTGGCCTCCACCACCCACCTCACTCTTTAGCCCCTTATCCCAACTCATTTTTCTTTGTCCCAAAGGGATGCTGGAGTGTTGATCTCTGTTACTGGTGTATTTCCTGCCCCACCCCACCCCCCGGCTTGTGAAGTGCCAGGAGAACTGAGCTTCGTTCTTCTCAGGGCCCCATAGAGGTAGGCGCTCACCCAACGTGTGTTGAAGGGAAGGATGGGGGGTGGGCCTTGGGCTCCTGGTGAGGAGGTGAGCGAGCGGCTTGGGTCCAGCGGCGGCAGCTGCCCGCAGCAGGTGGGTCTCGGGAGCCTCGCTTCCTTCCTGCCCTCAGGAGGCTCTCAGAACTGCAGGGCCACTCAAGGTGCCGCACAGGTTCTAAGCAGGAGTTTCTGTCCTTCGGTTGGGGAGATAGTGTTGATAATAACCTTTATTTTCTCGTTTCCTCCCCTTCGTGTTCTCTTGGAGGAGCTCCTGTTGGCTGCCTCTGACCTGGCCCTGGTTCCTTTTCCTTCCCACCCCCTGGCCCTCTGATCCACTCCCTCCTGCACTCCCACCGCCTCTGCCGTCCTTCCCAGTCCCTCCTCCCAGCCCCCGCTCGACCTTTCTGCCCGCGGGTCCCTTTCTTCATCCGGGGCTGTTTCGCTAAATGAACCGGCCAGTGCTGGGCGCCAGCTCCCCGCAGGAGCAGTGGAGGCCCAGGGCGCCCTCTCCACTCTGGCCCCTGGGATCCGGGGGCGGTGGTCTCGCTGCTGCGCCAAGGACCCCTGCCACCCGTCAGGGACCTGCAGGCTCTGGCAGTGGTATCAGGCCAGGGAATCTCGGGGTGGTCGGGGCAGCCGAAGCGAGAGGAGTGGGCGGAATTCGGCGGGGCGGGGGGGGGCACCCCGGCATTGGGAGGACAGACCAGACCCCTGACTTCGCCCCCCAGGTTTTCTGTAAAATGGGCTCCTGACGGCAGGACAGGGCGTGCTTCCCGGCGCTCCCACTCCGCCTGGGTCCCTGAGCACGCGATGCCGCGAGGGGCAGTCCCCTTCCTGGCCTCTAGGTGACTGCAGCCACCTCCCTGGGCCCCAAACTGAGGCTCATCGGCGGGGCTTGGGGCCACCCCATTGCCTGCACCTCTTCCCACTCAGGCCGCCCCCAACTCGCAGCCCCTTAAAGTCCAGGACCAAGACCTCCCAGAGCTCCCACGTGGCCCTCCCTGGGGCCCAGCCCTGGCCCTTCCAAGCTGAGTCCGGCCCCTGCCCCCCACCTGGTGCTGGCGCTCTCCAGGACCCTCTGGACCAGGGGCTGGACCACTGCCTCAAGGCCTTGGGGGCTCTCGGGGGCTTCTGGGGGCTGAAGCGTGAGGTCAGGCCACCTGGACGGGAGGGCGCCCCACAAGGTCAGGCTGAGTGGGACCCCGGGCCGCGCGGCTGTTGGGGGTGGAGGAGGGGCAGCCTCCCGCTCAGGGCTGGGGATTAGGTGGGGTGGGTAATAGCCGGCAGAGGCTGTGGCCCTGTAGGGACCGGGCCGCTCTGCTCTGAGGGACCCCTTCACACCTGGATTTAGGGTCAGGTTGCTGCCCAAGAGCTCCTGGACAGTGGGCCTGGCTCTCTTCCCTCCTGGCCCGCATCAGGGAGCATGACGAGTGTCCTTCTGATCCCTGGTCTGGCACTCGAGCCCAGCCTCGCCTTCTTGGAAGCCCCTTGACCCTCCAGGCCACCAGCTGCCATCACCGCCCCTCCCCCACCCCCTTCTGGGTGTTTCCTTCTTGGACCCCTTGCATGCTGTCCTCTCCGCTCGGACGTGCTTCCTGCCGTCCGGCTGGCCATCCTCAGGACGCCTCAGCGCCTAGTCCCGCTGTGTCCAGTCAGTGTCACTCGGCCCCCAGGCAGCACGTGCCCAGGCAGCACGTGGAGGGTTTCTGAATGGATGGATGAGTGCCTCTGAGCTTTTCCGTGATTCCCCTTGGAAGGTCACAATCCGGGCCCAGACAAATCCTGGCATCTCCGAAGCACAGCGTG